GACCCCGACCTGATTACAGTTTAAACTGTTTCCTCCTGTGTGGTTCCTCTGGGTCCTTGGCTGAGTTTCTGTGGTATTTGTGTGTACAGATAAAAGTACAAGGGTTACACAGTGGAAAAGTTGCTAGTGCTCTGGCCTTACAGCAGGTACATCACTGGTTCAAATCCTGGAGGAAGCTGTGAGTCTCTCTGTATGTTGTGGTGCATGTTCTACCTGTGTATACGTGGATTTCTGCTATTTCTGTCTTAAATGACTTAACCACAGCAGTAGGTGTGAGTGTAAGTGGTTGTTTGTCTTCACATGTGACCCTGTAATGGACTGGGGAACTGTCCAGGGTCTACTCCCACCCTATGGCCCTGAAAATGATTAAGCTGTAGAAGATGAATGGGGATTCACTGCAAGGTGAGGGGGGGGGGGGGGGGGGGGGGTGTTTGGGGGGGGGGGGGGGGGGGGGGTGTATGACGGACTACAACTCAGTCTTTGCACTTAAAAAATTTAAATAGAACATATTCAACCCAGACTTAAAAAGCAGCAGTGGTTGAATGTGGGTGTGGAGGAACTTAAAGAGAATGAGTATAAATGGAAAAAAAAAACTGCTGATAGTTAAAATATCCCTGATGTTGTTTCCCTTCTTTTTGAAGAAAAGGGGGTTTTTGTTTTAGCTGTCAGAAGTTGTGCGTTTGAAATTGTTTCAGCGAACAGTTTGACGAGACAGTTTTCTTCCAGCCCCCTCTGTCTTTCAGCTGTCATTACTACAAAGGTTTCCTCTCTTTTTTTTGTTGCGATAACAATTGACATTCTTTTGAACTACATATGAAGCAGTGTGCACACGGTTACATACAACCACAGGCCCACGATTTACTGTATGTTGTGCTGTAGACAACATGGAACCTTTAGATGAACAAAACCGTTTTCTCAACTCAACACCTTCACCTACTTTACTGTCAGTCTGCGTCAGGTGTGTAATGTAGTTGAGTTGTGTTGATTTGAATCTTTTTTGTTCGCGATGTTGTTTCGCCCACATTCAACAGAAATGCAATTTCAAAGCTCTCCTTCTCTCTTTCTTTCACATGCACACGTATGCATGCAGACACACTTCCCACTCCCTCATCCCTCACACAGCATAAAAGCCCTCTCCAGATTGTCAGATTGCTGTAATGTCACACTGTCACTCTGATGGTGATGAAGTACAAAGCCACTGTTGTCACACCCCCCGTGGATAGGGTTGTATAACCCTGAAGTTCCCATTACAATGTGCCTAAAAGTGAGTTAGCATGTATTCTCCTTACACAGTTTTCATCTTTAATTAACAGGTCCAACTGCACAATGGGAGCGAAGAGTTGTCGGGGTCTATTTTGTGCTGTCATGAAAATTGAGATCTTTCTCCTACAGCATGTAGAATGGTTGTAGGAATTAATAAAATGTAAGATTAAAAAAAAAAAAACTTACCTTGAAATTAAATTGAGTGGGAACAGTTTTATTTGGTCTGCCTGTTTTGGGTGTGCGTTTGGTAGTGCTAATTTTCAGCACAGATCTGAGCTCTTCATCAATAGATTAGCCTTGTCTGTTTAATCTATTCTACTACTTCTGTCTTCAGCAGCTGTCTCTTTCTTCTTGGTGTAACACCAACCGTATTTCCTAACACAGATAGTGTGGTAGCAGCATGCAGACTGCAGAAAGCAGACAAGTGCCTATCAGTTTACAACATTCTGATTTCTAAACATATGCATATTGAGGAAAACAAATCTGGCCTGTGAGTGCATGTCATGAAACTGGTGTCAGTTTTGTGCATCTACTTATTTTGTGCAGCACTCAGGAACATTTCTGTGAGGAATGGCAGTGAATGAAGCCCATTGTGAACGGTGCAGTGGGAAGGTTCCAGCATATCACAGTGCATTTCGTTGTTGTTTTCATTGGCTGTCAAAAGAGAATAGGATGAAGTCTTTTTCTTTTACTAATGAATGTTTTGCTAAGCATGTGTAAATTAGATGGAAAATTGATACCAGCCAGTAGTTGTCGCTAATACGAAGAACCAGAATGACGGTCATAAAGCCTCCAATGCCAAAACCAGCCCAGACATATTTTTAACTCTAATGGTGAAAATAACAATGTGAAATAAATACAGGAATACATTTAAAAACAACAGTGTTTCCCATTTCCGAGGTCCACAAGAACTTACAGTACTCTCCAGTTAAGGCTTTGCTCATCTTATTATTCGAAGTCCAGTTGTTTCAGGTCGATATAAAAAAAGTAAAACTATAATGTGTCGATTTCCTGTAATAACCAACAATTCATGAATTAATGCGATTTTTTTAGGATAATATATATTAAAGTAAGGCTTTAGATAGCAACTGAGAAAAGAAACTGTTTCTTGGGCCATAAATTTTATAAATTACTCCATCATATATTTTCTAATAATCCCTCTTTTGATTTAGAACCCTCTTTTCAGATATTGCTTTTATCAGTCATATGAGTTGCCTTTGAGATATCCGTAGTTGAATTTTTCATATCCGGGATTGACGCAGGATAAGGAATTCCTGCCTATAATAATATTCCCATTTCAAACACGTCTAATTCTGTCAGTTATCAGAAGAATGTTGCTGGGTTTAATAGTGTATTTTGAGTCACAAAAAACACCTGAGGTTGTTAAAGTGTGCGTTAAGTAAAAGTGTGTTTCTGTTTGTTTAATTTAAAAAAAAAATTAACACAAAAACTGTTCTGAGCAAAATAACAGCCAAATATCTCACCTGTAGAGGCAGAGGTTCTGCTTTTGTTTTCTTCCAGGCTCACGTGAGTGTGAACGTTGGAGCACAGATTTTTCCCTGACGGTCTTATCAGGACAGGTGGTGTTTTATTATCCTTAAAGAGAAGCAGCTCAGCCAAGCCTGGTGTGACAGCACTAAATGTAACTCTCAGAGTAATGTTTACCAAGCTTAGACCTAATAATAATAAAAAAAACTGTTGGTTTTGGATTCAGTACATAGACTGTTAGATACTGAGAATAAACACTGTGACATTTTTTTGCATTTTTATTTGAGATTTTAACATAAAAACATGCTGCAGAAATGTCTCTCTCAAGGAGGAATTTCTTTTTTTTTTTAAACTTAAAATTATCTTTCATGAGGATTGTCATTTTTTACTAACTGCATTAATGATGCAGTGTGAATAAATCCCATGGTATATCTCCACTCATTCAGTAGTTCCCCTCTGTCAGTGTGTTCATGAGTTTATAAATTTATTTCCAGTTGTACGGTACCTCCTACACTAGAGATTTTTCCAGGCTGTGTTGTGCCTAAAATGTAGATTCCCATGGAAAACAGTAGAGGACACCGTCGCTGTAAGCTGTTTAGCAGTTGAGGGGTAAAAAAGTGAAGCTAAAAAGTCCCTTTAATATAGACGTGCTGTCAGAGAGGCACCGTGCATCACTGGGCCTAGTGTTGTGGTATCGCAGGCGACAGTGTGCGATGTTGTGGAATAATACTTATTAAATTCCTCTCCTTCAACTCCCAGCTCTGTCTGTGTCCCGTGTTTATATTTCTCTTCCTTCATGCAATAAACCAGACTTTTACACAGTGACACAGTTTTTACATACTGTCACTTTGCTAGATTACCAGCAGGCACACGGTAGTACAGGTCACTGTCACCTTCTCTACACCCTCATCTGTTTGCACATACTGTACGTGTGTGTGTGTGTGTGTGTGTATTTGCATGATGCGTTTCAGTCACCTACTATGCTCAGCACTTTTTTTCTGAATCAGCAGCTGCAGTGCAATCAGTCTACCTATAATTAGGTTTGGCAATGTTTCCCGAAGGAAATATACCTGTGGTTGTCACTGGTGTCATGTGGCCCATGTGTTGAGATATATGGAATCCAGTAAGGGGTATTGTAGCTGCTTTGCATGTGTGACTGTAAAACTGTAATGTTATCCATTTACTGTATATTATTGCATGAAAAGGTCAAATAAGAATACAATTAAACACCGCACATAGGCTTTTATATGAACCTTGAAAAATTCATGAAGTAACTTGAACTCCAGAGGGATTAATAAAGTTATCTCTATCTATCTATCTATCTATCTATCCATTTATCCATCTATCCATCTATCCATCTATCCATCTATCCATCTATCCATCTATCCATCTATCCATCTATCCATCTATCCATCTATCCATCTATCCATCTATCCATCTATCCATCTATCCATCTATCCATCTATCCATCTATCCATCTATCTATCTAATCGTTTCACTGAGTAATGTCAACATGAATATGTTGCTTAATGAATAATAGATTGTATATACTGTATGAGTCTTTGCTGTTGGAAAATTTGCATTGAATTCTATACAATTTAACATCAATTGAACATGAGCTAATTTGATTAAAACCAGGATTTTAAGTAATTATAAATAATAATTATTATTAATAGCCTATATAATAATAAAGGCTACAGGTAAATCCTGCGGCACTCCATTTGAAATAGATGACCCAAATGCATATACTGTATGTATTTTTAATTGTTTTGAGTGATGTGCCTTCTTTCCCTCTGGACACAAATTGCACGATGACACCATGACAGACATTAACACAGAGAGTGGTGTTGGTAGAACAGCAAACGGTATAATGGGACAAGCTGCAAGTTGCCCGACTAATGGTGTAGATGAAGTCAGATGAAAAAGCCTATATGTATCATTTAGTCTGTCTGAGTCTGTATTGATCAGTCCGCTTGAGGCTCAATATCCAACTCTGTTTTGTCTGTCTGTTTCTCTCTGCTTTGTTGGTGTTGTTTTTCCCCTCTCTTTGTTAAACCCCTTGCCATTCAACAATCAATTGGGAAATCAGAGGGGAAAAAAGGACTCGTATTTCCACAAGTGTTGACTGCTGCATTCAACAGTTTAATTTTATTGAAGATGTTTTTTAGGATAAATATTAAATATTTGAAAAATGTTCCCACTTTACTTTCTATTTATGTTTGTTTATTTTTCTCTCCCTCTTTTTGCAGTTCGACAGATGAGCAATTCCGCTGGAACGCTCAAGGTAAAGTTCATGATTAAGACTTTCAGACACAGACCTACTGCTCAGCGCAGCTATTGTTGCATTCACTGAAATGTAACATTTTATTACTGCTTTTAAAGGTTACATTCAAAATCAAACACACTCCAAATTTCTCAAATTTATGTGCAAACATTTGACTTTGGGTTGAGTCATCTCCACGAACAGCTCATTTCCAGGCAGGCAGCTCCCAGGAAAGACTTATCACGGTCTTTTGCAGCATATAATCAAAGTGTCCTACAGCTCATAACCAAGACATAATACAGTAGGTGGAGTTTTATGCACTGCGGGAGAAGAAAATTGTAGTTACATTCCAAAGAAATCTCATTCATCTCTGTGCATCGACTGTGTTCTCTGTTCGCCCTCAGTTTGTCTGTTGCTTATACCAGATTTTCTTTCACAGCGGACGGACAGAAAGATATCGAAGATGAGTTGACAACAGGTTTGGAGTTGGTGGATTCCTGCATTCGCTCCCTACAGGAATCAGGAATACTTGACAGTGGAGATCGTAAGTAATCTCATAGTGTCATAATCGTATAGTGTCTGGATGCTTGGTAGCTGAAATACGTTTCTAGAACTGGTTATATACAGAAAATAATGTCTTTCAATACTTTGAAACCCAAAATGAAACAAAAAATGTTTTGAGTAAATATATAATTGTTATAACAAATTGGCATTATTAGGAACTATCTAACAATGATCTTGAGTTATCAAAGAGGTTGCTGAGAGAAAAACAGGGTTTGTGTTAGTTAATCCTGCTATGCATGTTCAGTAAATACACACAGTGCAGTACTTTAGGTTGGAGATTTTTTCTTTCTGGTAAAAACAGAAGAGAAATATACTTTAACGAGTCCCTTATGCTGTTACACGTCTGCTTAGGTGCAGCAATTCCCTGTCTTAATATTCCACTCTCATCCAGTATTAATTTCTACTTACAGTAAGCAAGATGAGTCGGGGGAAGACATAGTTTCACATCAGACATTATGTAAACACTGAACATACAACAGACAAAGCATTAGAGAGAATAGTTCCGAAGAAAACAAAATCAAATCTATAGATAACTTTAAAATGAATGTTGAATGTTTGATCTTGGGTTTCTGCCCAAGTCTCACTGCTCTTTCTATGTATGGACAGACTAATAAAGCTCTCTGTTTTTATGCATAGTCTAAACCTTGTGACCTTAAATGTGGATAAACAAATCTAATTGCTGATTGAGAGAAAGAAGTCTCCCAAATGTGGTTGGCATTTTCTTCGCAGGTCATCGGTTGCGGAACATTGCGTTCCTACTTAACTTATTGTATGCTGACCTTTTTGATGGTTGATATCGCTGTAGTGGATGACATTTATAAGCTTGCAGATACACGGTGCTTAGTGTATTATTAAGTGAGGAGAAAACCTGTACATCGAAGGCCTTATCGTAAAACACTGGGGTTATTCAATAAACGTGCACACACAGACGATATCACACACACACACAGATATCACTGGGAAAGCCTGTGGTTTGGAAATAAATAATAAGCAGGTTGTATATATAACCACGTGTTGAGAGCAAGAACTAACATGATCTGATTCTTAACTCATGTAAAAGTCCTGGACTCTGTATTACTGTTGGTCTTCTCCTAATTTACAGATGGTGTGGAATTTAATTAATATATTTTCAATATTTCTTGTTGACATTAGCTGTTAGCAACATGTGATCTGTAATCCTAAGGCTTTGTTGTTTGAGTATTTCAATATGTTGTACACTTTAATGGATTTATAACATAGGTACAGAAGCCAATAGTGACCTTTGATAACCAGAAAAGGACCAGAAATATTGATAACTCTTAGTCTGATGAGTCTGATATCTGCCCCAGGCAGGAAGGATATTTACTGTGGGACTGTAGTGCACCACAGTGGAATACGTCTATTATTTTAGGTCAATGCTGGAATGCATCCAACTTATTAGCCTTGCTGTTTATGTTCCTTTGAACAGGCAATTGTCAAATGACAGGCCAGACTCTCTCAATCACACAGATCACACCCGAAGACGCAGTTAGAGAATCAGTTAACCATAACAACAGAATGATGAGAAGCTCATGTCTTCAATGCGGTAAAATGGGAACAACTTCCACTTCAGTTTTCAAATGATTAAGTTTAAATGAAAGAAAATGACAAATGACGATGATAAATTTGCCTCTGTCCCAACAAGTGTTTGTCAAAAAAAAACCTCTAAAAGGCTTTTCTTTGTCTTTACCCTGAATGAATTATTAGTCGTCAATTGTTTGCTGAGGCGCTTTCACTTCCCTGGTAATTGAGTTTTTTCAGTTTTTACCATAGGAGAATGGTTTTTGAAAACACTTTTTTTATACTTTAACCAAACTTTGATTAACATTTGTGTTTAATTTTTGAAAAATGTGATCTTTGAGAGTAGTCTCTTAGTCTTGATGATGTAAAATAAAACGATAACGATTATTTGTCACCAGGTCATAAATTCATTCTACTCCATTTCACTACACAATTCACAGCATTAACACAGTCTTTTTATACACTGAAAATAATAGCCTTTCTGTTGTTACATCGCACTCATATTAAACTTTAACACGTACATGTAGAGCTTCACGCTCATAGCATGTGCACCGTCACAGAGACAGTGGGCACTAGTAACTTTAGAGGCTCCCACTCTCTCCATGTAATGTAAAGTGCTGGTTGTTAATTTATTTAAAGCCATGGCAGGAATAAAGATGAAAAAGGACAAGTCTTCCGGTGGTTCAGAAAAAACGAGAGAAGAGAGGGATAGAGCAAGCAGACTATGTAATAAGGTTCTTTGTTATTGTGGGGTGTGAAGTTGTCATGGCACTGAGCTCTGTGGTAGACATTTGCAGACTTTCATGAGGAAACATCTATGATTTTTCAAACATTTATTATATTCAAACAGAAAGGAAGGAAGAGGGAAAAAATGACGCCCTGATTGGCCAGCATTACTCTACACACTCTGGTAGCTTTCATATCATGACCTGGAGATTTGTATTCAGAGAGAGAGAGTTAAAATAGGGACCGGATGAAATATGCATACACCGCTGAGTAGTCTTTAGTAAATCCTAAGCACACATATAAACATGTACACACACGCAAGCCACACAGAACCACTCACACCACCGACTGGTGAGTGGTCTGAAACATTTCCCTTCCCCAGCTGACCTCATTCTCCCCAACACAGTTCAGACGATAGTCCATCTTAGTAACTGCCTTATGATGTTCCTCTCCCCGATCGATACCAGCTTTAAGTGCCCAGAATGGGAATGAAAGGGAGGGGATTATTATTTTAGGATGGGAGCTGTGATGTTGCCATGTGCTGGGAGCAATGATAGAAAACATGCTGCAAGTAGGCTCCTGAATGCATCAAAAAGGTCAAGTAATTAAAGTAGTAGCTCCACTTTTTTAATACTTATAATTATAATAATTCACACTATTTACATCCTTCAGTACTAACATGACAGTACTTGATGTAAACAAGTAAAATATTAATTTTTAAAAAATACATCTACATTTATACATACATACATAACAACCTAAACATAAGCTTATCCTTAAGGAAAAATAAATTACATATAAAATATAAATTAACAATTAATCTAATAAAAATAATTAAAAGTTTACAATTTATTGAGGATGATTAAAGTTGTTTTTTGAAGTGTCAATATAAGAGAATGTTTCAGTGAGTGCAGTGGAGGTTATGTAAAGTTATCTGAAGCAGAGAAGCCTCAGTTAAATCATATCCATTCAATACATGATGAAACTTTACACCACTACATCGATTTTAATCAGGGAACTCCACCGTCCTCCGTATGTTCAGCGAGTGGTGTGTGTTTTCCACAAGAAAACACTTTTTGGTTCATTTTAGGACTGTGAGGAAGGTGAGGCTGTTGGTGTTTGGCGGAGAACTCACGTTCTGTGTTAGAGACAGCAGCACACATGAAGCTGAATTTCTTTATCAAGTCTCCATGAACCTTGACTCTCACCGGTGCAGGAGTGATCTTTGTTCAGGGCGTTATTTTGTGAAATTAACATTTGGCAAGGTACAGGTTGAAGTTGTTAGGTATTTCATCCATTTCAACTTTCTTATTTCCAGCCCTCCTCCTCCTCCTGTCCTCTCCTCCCCTCTGCTTCTCCTCCTCCTCCTCCCAATCTCTCTTGTCTCTGTTTCTCTTTCTCACTGCTAATAAATTTTTCATGTCTTCTCCAA